GCAACCTGCTCCGGGTGACTCCCCCCAGTTTCTATACTGGGCATAACATGCTGTGGTATGGAATACCCCTTTGGCTAGTTTGGGTCAGGTGTCCTGTCTCTGCTTCCTCACAGCTTCTGGAACCCAGAACCCCAGTGCAGAATTTACAGATCAGAGCCACAGGAACCAACAGCCTGTGGAAGAGATCCAATACTTTACTGTGTTTGCTTTGGGAAAGGAACTACTTTAACCATTAACAGGTATGCATAAGAAAACTGCAAGTAAATGTCAATATTGATGTTAGTAAGAATGTTTGTATTCCACACACTGCAAATTCACTGAGTAACTCAAGTGAGTGATAAGGGGCAGTGATTTGGTTATCACAACCATCCCTTTGTGGACCAAAATGCACTACAGACTTACTCAAACCTGGAAACACAACCCCATATTTTGTGAACACAAAATATGTATCTAAATCTTAAAGGCAATACCTTTAGGTTAATGTTCAGACACGAAGCACAACATGCTCAAGAGAATGCTGTGGCACAGTGCTGTGGCTATTTACTAGCTTAGGATTGTCACTGTTTTGAAGCAGGAGCAAGGCTGATGTCCCACTACATGCAGTAAATCACTGGTGCTTCTCAGGTGCAGCTGCCAAGAAGCATCTCTTGCTTCAGCAAAGAACATAGTCTAGCATCATTTTGGCTCCACAAAGGATGCTGATGCTGCAAGAGGTCAGCCCCAGGCATTAAGGAACATTATCAGCCCAAAGGGTACTGAGGCTTCACTCCACGGAATACACATGGTTAGGAATTTTACAGTGGGTATTTTTAATCAAAAAATGAGAGTTCCAGTGTGTCACTTATGACTCCTCTTGCAAATCTCTTTCTAGATCCCATTAGCTCACTTTGCCATAGAATCAAACAGGTTGGAAAGACCTTTAAGCTCATCCAGTCCAACTGTACCCAGCACTGTAAAGGCCACCACTAACACTACGAGGCCTCATCTCCAGTGTGCGAACTCTTGCAGGGATGGTGACTACAGCACTGCCCTGGGCAGCCTGCTCCAATGCCTGAAAGCCATCAGTGTCAACCACTCTAAACTACCCTGACATGTAGCCTATCCTCGGGCTAGAGGCTTCAAGTTTTCAGTCTCTCTGGCTTCCAGGGATGATCAGTCCTCATCCTGGGAAAACCAGCTTTCACAGCAGCCTGCGTGCAATTCCTGAGCTCTGACACCTCTGCACCTGTTGAGCAGAAAACACTTACCTCATGAGTTGATTTTGACCAGATTTGTTTGTAAAGTAACACCCACCCAAATAATTTAACCAATAACTCTCCCCTTACCAACCATTTTTAAGGGCTATTTATGCATGAAAACAACTTAAAGAAACCTACAGAAACTCCCTCAATGCTCCAATATTGCTCCTGCTGCAAAACATCCCTTCTGTTTCTTGTGTCCCACACCCAGCACCCCCAGCCCCCATTACATCTGCTGCCTCACAAGCTACTGCCTGTTAAGAGAATTATGTACATGCTCCTTCAGTAATACCTGCCAAAACACAAGAGAATGCAGCAGAATTATTCCTTCCCTTTCCCACAGCACTGAAGGACTGACCTCACAAGCCAACTAATCATGAGCATAGAAATCATAGCACCCTAGGACGTGAGATCTTCATCCCCTCTCTTGACAGGAACCCAGCCAAAGGGTGCAGGACTAAGAGGGAGGACAGAGAGGTTATCTTGGGAACAGGACATTGACATGCAGACAGCGCAATTACGCATGTCTCATTTCCTTGTGAAACTCGGCTGAAATTCATAAAACATGCAGAGCTCTTTAATAATAGCAGTGCTATTTTGAGCCGGGGGGGGGGGGGTATTATTATTATTATTGAGGTATTTAAGCCAATCCACATATAATTCACATTTTCCAGAGGAAGAAATCTAGTTCTTTGCTTTGCCTTTGCCGCCTGCATACAGAACTCAACAAGAAAGGACACATCAACCTTCCAAATGCAGTTGGTTGAGCTGTGAAAGTTCAGTAAACTCAAAAGATGGCAACATCATGCAGTAAAAATGGTAATTTTAACCATGAAGCAGGAACTCACCCATCTCCTTTTGTTAACCATTCTGAAGAGCCCAAACACACATGCGCCTGTGTGTGTGTGTGTATAGGTGCCCTGTAGAGATCTGCAAAGCTCCAAAGACTCAGGTCATTCTAAATGAATTTTTACATTAAAAGAAAAGCAATAGAACAAGTTAAAGAAATTCTCAGAAGCTTTATTATTGTGTGGTGGATTCCTCAGCAAGGCAGCAACTTTGTTACTGGCTCTAGCAAGCTAATCGTGCACTAACAGAATAGATGGTCATTCTTTAGTTAAGATGACTGCAGCCCACTGATTAAGCCTCCCAAGGTCCATTAAATATAAGATAGGATGATAAATCCCACTGTTCCAGAAATTCAGTCTCTCTTCTTGCCGTGTGTAGACGAGGAAGGTAAGAAACCTTGCACACGCTGTACAACCTGGGAAAGCCTATCTTCACATCTTGACCACATTCCAAACTTCCCATAGCCCTTCCTATACAGAGGACTACAGGAGATGGGATATTTGGTGAAATCATTTAAAGGAAAACTTGGTCAACTCGGCAAAACTCTGAACTTGAGGTTTTCTCACTCTGGGATGGAGGAAGGTCTTAACAGATCCATGCTTCAGCCCCACCCCTGCCTAACACAATGAGATCTTTTTAAGGAACCTTGCTCACTGTAAACCATGTCATACTGGGAAAAAGACTTCTTGAGATGGATGAGTGGATTTATATACCTGTTTGTAGAGAAGAACACAATTCTCACCTTCTTTTCCCAGTGCTTCAACAGAACTACTTGTTATCTAAGCATAGAATCAGATAAATTATCTAGAGTAAACCAGGGTATGAAATTTAAGGCTTTAAATACTGCAGATAAATGCCTGATGGGTGCTGTCATGCTGTAAAACGCTATAATAAGCAGAAGGACAGTCACAATGAATCAAAGGGATTGTCTTTTGTAAGATGGCTTATATAGAACTGAAAATTAATGTAAAACATCCCAAAATGGCGATTCACAACTAGTCATATGAACTGTTATTCCTGCAGGGCAAAGGTGTCTTTTAATAACATGTGAATTCAGAATATACAAGAAATCCTTTAAAGTCAATCCACTTAAATTTGAAGTTTTGCCCCTAATTTTTAGTCAGAATGGTTCTGGGTTACTTCATTTCTCTATTGCATTTGCCAGTGGATGTTACCTGTTCGAAGAATCAGTTTTGGACTTTCCCAACCGATGTCTTTGCTCCATGAGAGAAAAATCTAGTCTAAGGAACCTTATTTGTAGTAAACTTTTAATAAAAATGATGCTTTGCATTTTCACATCCCAAAGAGCTAAAAATACAGAAACTTATTTACATTTGATAACAACAAAAAGGTACAAAGTACTATACAAAATGCAGTAAAGTCTCAAGAAAAACAAGGTTTGGAAAGTTCAAGCAGTTCTGACATGAAACCTGTATATTCTGAAGAGATCCCACTTTAAAGACTATGTATCAATACCGCAGCAGTGATTTTCTTCACCGAGTTAATGAAAAATGCTTTCATGACAATTATGACTCTCATTGCTTTTAATTTTGGCTGATACAAATATAACCTCCTAATAAAAGTTCCTGAATTGATGAAAAAAATCAAATTCAATATATATTCTTTCCCTTGAGGTTTTTGCCACAGAACTCTTCAAAATGAGAGAAGTACAGACACTTCTTTGTAAGGAAATAAGCCTGGCAAGAGATTCACGTTTCTAGTTGAAACATGCAGGCACGTTCTGATATGCAAAAGGAAGTAAGACACATTTTAACTTTTAAAAAAACCATAGGAAATCATATTGTATAGATGGAAAATTGGAAAGATCAGCTCTACCAGACCCTTACCTACCAATCAAGTCAACTGGGAGACAGTCACATCAATGTGTTTGGGTGCACTGTTCTAAGAAGGTGTTGATTCCTATGTGTCAGGTATGGATGCAATCTGATTCTACTGGCATTTCAGATTGGGTGATCACTGCGATATAACTTAAGTCATACCTTTGGTGTATTTTTGATAAATGTATGTTATTTTAGGTAGTGAAGACCGATGCAACCCTCCTATGTTGTACCATGACCTTTAAAAAGCTGATAGCTATTGATTTGAAAGCCAATCCAAAGGACAGGCATCCGGTCACAAATAAATCTGACATCAATAAATCTACAGTAGTTCTACTGGAGAAGGGCCAAAAATATGCTCTGAATTGAACACTGACACCTTTTACCAATGTAATGCTTTGGGATCATACAGTTACTCTTCAAAGGGGATTGTGTAAAAGTTTTAATCCTATTGCTAATCGAGGGGGAAAAGAAACCCACAACAATCAGTTCAAAGTAATATGAAGAAACACTATTAAAGTGCCCCCACTGTTTTTACATTCAATTTGAACCCATGTCTCTGACGAGGTGAAATATCCTGGTCTGAAATATGCATGGTCCACTAATCTAGCATTAAAAAAAGCCCAACTTTGTAAGTGTAGCCCATGAGTATATTGTATGATTAGTAGAAAACCTTTAGCAGACACAAAAAAAATGAGAGATGAAACTGCAGCAAGAGAGCATGGCAAACCTGAGAGATCTATTAGTGCATAAATCTGCTTCCAAACTAAAAAGATAGAAAGAGAGAGCTAACGAACTACAATAAAAGTTATGTCTTTAAAGCAGTAAGTTACAACAGGGTGGGAAATGTTTCATATGCACATACGCCTGCAAAGGGGTCACTAGCTTTCTGAAAATAAGGAGCTGGTATTTTTTTCACAGCATCAGATTTTGGTAAAATGCCATAAATTGGATTTTGGAGTATTACGCTTTTCCCACCCTGGCAGAGAATAAACATGAATTTAGAAGCACAGTAGAAGTGAAAAACAAAGAAGAGGAGAGAGAGAAAGCAGCAGAGAAAGACAGAAAAGGTGAATACAGAGCTACAGAAGTGTTTATTGAGCATGCTACAGAGGTAAGCAGAGTACACACAAAATGAAATTAAACCACCGTCAAACCTCCCAACTTTGTTAGAAAATTAATTTTTAATTGTGCCACTTTCAAACTAGACTGAATTTTACAATTCTAAAGATGTAAAAACTCAACTAATAGAAAATATACATGACCATTTTTTTCTTTGTCTCTACATAGATAACAGAATCTATGGATCTTGAAACTAAGTTACATCAATTTCAAAAAGTATTGGTCATTGAAACAGAATCAAGGTAACAGTTCAGCCTGACAGAGAACTGCTTTCAAATTAACTGGATCTGTAGATTCTGAGCCATGTTTATAGTAAAGTCAGATCAATTTCTAAATACAAAATAGCTTGAAGAGATTTATTAAAACTCAATATTACAATGCAAGGTAAATTAAGACTAAAGGCACATAAACTTTGGTCCCACCTGGTTTGTCAGTTTGAGAAAACTGCCCCAAAATTTCCTGCCAGCTTCTGCAGCAAACTTTCTTCTTCATTGAAAAAATACATGCACCATTTCCTGAACTAGCTTGACCGGTCTGTACATGCTCAGAAATCCACAACCATATTCCAGATCTTAATTACAAACTAAAGATGGCAATATATACTGAAATGCACGTAAGTCATGTCAACTTCAAAAAACATCTACGAAAAATATTCAGCCACAAACAAGACATTACTTAGTGCTGACATTTATATGATACATCCCACAAGAGTGTGTACAAAAAGGTTAAGATCCCACAATGCTTTTCATGTAGGGCTCAAAGTCACAGAAGTCACTTTTTGTCCTTTGAAAAAATTAATATTCTGTACCTTGTTAATTTTAACTAATGCCTACATTCAGAACTGAATCTAGACCAGAACGATGAAATACTAAAGGCCTTTTTCAAACAAATGAACACAAAGCAAATAAGAAGCAAATCAAATAACATCCTTTAACTCTTTCAGTGTAACTCATCTTATTCGATTAAAAAGAAAACTAAGTGACAAGCCAGAGATAAAAGAAATCTATCAAGCAGGAGAAACAAAAGCTTAACCTTTTCACACACCCCTGCCAAAACATATTGAAATCATCATGTAACAATGTGCCCCAGACAACCAAATCTGCCTTTTCACTAGTTATGCAATTCCAGCAGTACTAGTTCTCCTTGTTTAAGGCACGTACGTCAACTAAGTTGAAAACCTGTGGTATTAACTTGAAATCTTGTCAACAAAAGGATGGTTTATCAACAACAGCTGAACACCAGCAGTTAGAATCACTGCTTTGAAGGGTTTAAGTTTTTAAAACAATCAAGGAATGATAACAGCATGAGAAGAAAATAATAGAAAAAACCCAAAAAACAAGAGAAGACAAACTCTGGTCCCCACTTTCCTGAACAGTCAATAGGTGACAACACCAAACAATGCAATATACCCTCCTTTTCTAATCTGCCTTTTTAAATGGTTGACTTAGAGAAAGAAACTCTCAGATGGTGATTTTCTCCCAGATTGTAATTGTGAAGATCAATCAAAGCTTGAATAGCTTCTTCTACTGTTGACATCTGAAGAAGTGCCATCTTGTGATCTCTTCTGAAACAAAATAACAGCATTAGGAACTCGAACACAACAGGGGTTTCTCCTGATGTTTATTTTCCCTTAAGACAAGCTGCAAGAACACACTTAACGCAGTCTTCTGGCAGAGCTACATACAGGAAAGTTACTTACTGAAAGAATTTAAACGCTTTCACAGTGCCTCCAGTGTTAGCAAACAATGTGCGTAGATCCTCTTCTGCTACCGATGGTCTACAAATAGAAAGGAAATGAGCGTAAGCAAGAAATTATTACTCCGTTTGGGGTGTTGTGACTCATACTAATACAACTGGCGACTGAGAGCCAACACTTACGGAATATTGGACAGATGAAGTGTTGCAGAAGGAGGGAATATATTTTGGAAGTTTTTTGAACCAGGCTTCTTGAAGCGATGCAGAGGTGAATTACCAAAATCCTTTGTCAGCCCTTGGTCATCAAGTCCCTCTCGAGGTAGTTGTACTGTCTGATGTTTGGAAAGGGTCACTCGAATAATCTTGCCATACATCTTTTGTCCGTTAAGATGGCTCATGGCTGAAAAAGACAGGTTTACTCAATTCAGCATGACTTTACCATAGCTTGTGGTACTTCACCCAAGCAACCAAGACCACTACCCAAGCAAATCAAAGGGTCAATGAGCTAAAAGGCTGGAATTGATTCCGTCTCTGCAGAATCTGCATGAATATTTCATTTTATTTAAAGCCTATCACATGCGATTAAGCTGCTGAATTCATTTAGGCTATTGTGCAGACCTTCTGGAATACAAGTGCATGCAAGTCTTTGGATTTTGGGGATAACCAGGATACAAGACAAACTGACAAATGTGAACATGCTCAGTTCACACAGAGTAATTTCAAGCACTTAAGACTAACAGGAATAGAAATGGAAAACTAATCTTACCCAGCTGTGACTGGTTTCCATCAGCCATCTGTATAAGAGCACTATCTTTCTTATTGTATAAAATCTTCACACGCTGCACATCACCATAAACACCTTTTCAAAGTCAAAGGTAACCCAAAAGAAAAAGTTCATTTTAAAGGCAAGTCACCGAAGTAATACATTTTGACATATCAATGGAACATTCAGACAGCAACGAGATCACTCACTCAAACTCAACGCTCTCACAAATGAATAAAGGAGATAAAAGATTTTTGAATAGTGAATTTTGAAAAGAATCATTCCTGATCAACCCTCAAAGCTATGTGAATGATATTAAATTAAAGACCATGCAAAATATATTAGCATGCATTAAAAGAAAACAAATCAATAAATCAATCTGTGTTCTATGGAGAGTTTTCAACAGCAAAAGAAAAATAGCAAAGAGATTTACTCTTCAACTTTAAGCCAAAGTGCTAGCTACAAATAAGAATTAAGGTGAAACAAAAAATAGAAAACCAACCAAACAAGAAACCAAAATCAAATCAATAATAAAAGTATAGTGCTAACAATAACATACCGAAGAGGGTAAACAGACTTTGGGGCGTAACCATCTTTAGAAGGAGAGAAGAGCAAGCAGCGTAAGACAAGAAGAGAGAAGAGTCGAGGAAGAGCGGAGATGAACAGATCATCCATAACGAAGGGTGGTTCCCGCAGAATGGTGAGGTGGTCATGGATCATGGTTTCAAGGCGGTTAATTGGGGCAAGTTGGTCCGAGGAACATTTTGTTCAAGCACAGAAGCATGAACACAGGGAATGAAGACAGGGAATGGAGACAAAAGACGAGGAGAAGGGTAAGACAGGGAAGGGTATGGGAGTTGGGGGAAAGACAAGGAAAAGGGAAGTTGAACACAAAGGGAAAAGGATGAAATGGGGAAGGGGATACAGCAATGCAGAAGAAAAAAAATAAGGAAGTGGGGAACAAAAACAAAATAAAATATAGGTCAGTACATAGGAAATGCAGGAATTTGGTCAGAAAATGGTTGGTTTATGTACTGTACAAGAAAAACTGAGTAAAATGTAGTCACCCAAGACAAATATGGGTAAAGTACATTCATATCAAGAGTCAACTACAGCATTTCATCTCAACATGAAAATAAATAAAAAGAGCATGCAATAGAACTTTTCAACTTGGAACTTGAACTGCGTAAGCATGGCTGGCTATGAAATGCAGGCAAACCCTCTTTCCAAACGGCACTCTGACCAAAAACATCTTCACATGCAAGACTGGATGACAAAATAGCACCAGATGATAAAAAAAGCTTCATGATTTACAGTGACAGAGGCCAGTTAAAAATGGAACAGCTAGACTGATACAAACGTCCCACATTTCATACCAGCTTTCACAGCCATCAAAAGAAATGTAAAAGGACAGTCAAAATGCAAAACTAAGTCAACCTCTGGAGATTTCAGAGTTAGCAGGAAAGATACAAGTTACAGTGAAAATGCTTTGCCACCAGTTTTTTTCTTCTTATTGTTAATTTTAAAGACAAAGGAGTTACTGCAAAGGAAAAAGTTACTAAGAGAGACTGGAAGAGTTGCCCGTCAAGATCTTTGGGAGAACCTTCAAAGAAAAACGTGTTAGAGTAGTTCACAGAAATTAAAGACCTTCAAATGTGAGCTACAAGCATGGAATGAAACAGCAAACCATTAGAAGAAACAAAACGGAAGATTCTAGTTTATGGGATTATAATTGCAAAAGAAAGCAGAGGTGTAAAAAAAGAAGAGCTTTCAATTCCAAGGTCAAACATGCAGTAGTTACCACATCGTTCTTAGAAAAAATAGGTAGCCGACTATCAAAGGACATTTTAAGTTGTTAGCTACCTGGGAAAACAAAATAAGGGCTTTAAAATTAACTTGGGGGGATTACTAAAGAAAACCAGCAAAAATACTTTGAGCTTAAAATTCAAATGCAAGAGGCCAAATGCAAAGAAATCATAGTGACAAATGAACGGTGACTAAAGAGGGCAAAAGAAGTAGTAAAGGGGTTTCACTGACCTCTTCATTTAAATTGCTAACCAGGAGAACTGTATTGCCACCAGCTGGAACTCCAGGCATTCCCACCCGGCCGGCAGCAGCGGCTGCAGCTGCAGCAGCAGCATTTGGAATAGCCAAAGGACTCAGAGCTCCTGGAACAGCTGCAACAGGAAGCCCTAATTTTAAAATAAAGCATATTTTACGAAACACACACAAGTCATTTTGTGCAGAAAAGTCCCTCTATCAGCACATGTGTTGCATACAGCACTCTGCAGAGCAGACCATTCGCTGCTAATGTCCTCCAAAGGCTTGCGGAAAGGGTTGTTAAATTCAAAACAAGCAGCAAAGTGAAAATTATTTCTTATTCAGATCAGGTCTTCAAAGAATTGAGAAGGTGTAAAATGTACTTGCTTTTCACATCAACATTTTGTGCACCAAACTTTTCTCATGTATAGAATCCCAGAATGGTTTGGGTTGGAAAAGACCATAAGATCATTCAGTTCCAACCCCCTGCCATGGGCAGGGACACCTCAACTTGATGCTTCAAACTCAATCTGCAACACTGGAGCTGGTCATGTGAAAAGGCCTCCGTGCCTCTCAGAACCTCTGCATAACTGAGGTGAGGAGGCAATGTCGTCAATTCAAGATTCTAGGCAGAACCACTGATTATGCTTTGTGGCTTCTGTAATCCAATTCCCTGAAGCAGCACACTACCCTTAGGCTAAACCTTTAGCTGTGCTTTTAGTTTTCTTCTTCCAAGGAAACATGGATTGTGTAGAGAGCTGGTGGTTTTGCCTGGTCAAGTCACTGGGGTAACAAGGTGACTGTGCTACTCCCAGGATCAGTGGAAGGTTCTTGTCATGTATATGCCTTGTCTATAGTTTACAGCGGAACAGCTTTTATTGTATTTGATCCATATTTTATTTGTGCGTTTTACAGAGTTCAGTAAAAAGACACTGGCTTAGCAGAGTAGGTAAAAAAAAGAAGTATAAGTTGAGTATTTTATTGTCTTTTACTGCAATTAGATTCTCAGAACACACATAAGGGCAGAAGGGGAGCAGCAGGGGAGCAGTAACCTACAACTTGGACAAGATTTCCATCTTCATTCCCATTTGTTTGTGAAAATGGCTGGACAAATGCCCCCTCAAAGGGAACAGGACATCCATCACTACTTTGATCAGTAAGTAATACAGTTGAACACTATCACAAGCATTGGAATATTTTGTGGTTATTTCCTGTCAAGACGCATAGCAAAAAAAAACACCACTAAGTGTTCTAAGAAGAGAAATTAAAGATACAGGATGCTTTCTGATAAAGTTTAGAAGATTAAAAATGTAAGTATTCAGGGGCCAGACCAGAGGAACACAAAGTTATCACTAATGACAATTCCACTCATCTCTCATGCCACAAGATAAAGGGAAAATCTACCTGAATCAAAGGCAACAAATACCATCTCTTACTGCATTAGATGCTGTATTTGTGGGACTGACTGGAATACCTAAAAAGAACAAAAGCCCTTATCTTCTCTTTTTCCCTTCCATCCTGCAAAAACCCAACAGATTTGAGACCATATTAGATGGTCTATGTAAACAACAGCCAGTTACACTAAATGGGCAATAAAGTAACATACAATCTGCTTCACAAATCACAAAATCCACTAGGTTGGAAAAGCCCTTTAAGCTCATCCAGCCCAACCCTTACCCCAGCACTGCCAAGGCCACCACTAACCCATGGCACTGAGGCCTTGTCTCCACAGTGTGCGAACACTTGCAGAGACGGTGACTCCAGCACTGCCCTGGGCAGCCTGGTCCAATGCCTGAGCACCCTCTGGGGAGGAAAGCACTCTCTCCAGGCATACTACTGTGTGAGCATCCATTACGAGGGCTGTGCTAGGTCTCCCAGCAGAGAAGGCAGAAGTAATGTTAACAGCCAAGAGAAAGGATATGGAATTAGATAGACCACTGTGATGCAATTTTGTTTCTCAAAATGTATTTGGTACAATACTATATACTTACGTATATCAATAGCAACATAAAAATATAACATCAATATGATGTGTGTTTTGCTCTTGGGTTAAAGTTTAAGAACACAGCTTTAAGAAAAAACAAATACAAGAGGATGCAGTTGAATAAAGTACCCCTGTAGTAGCCCAGCTTGCTCAACTTCCTGTCCAGCCTCGCCTTGAACACTGAACTGGAAGAAGTTTATTCCCCAAATCAGGCTGTAACTCAGAGGGAAACCTGTGAATGTCAAATTAAAACCCTCAAACAATTCTATAACAATCCAGTTCTGCTCTAAAATATCATTTTGCAAATGTACTTCTGAGTGCTTTGTATTGCATATGCTGTCATGTTTAGTTACATTCAGCTCCTGTCAAGGTCATGCAGACAGAAATGTGAAGAATGACAGTAAGGAGTGACAGATGTCCACCTGAAGGGAAACAACTTATATCAGGTCAACAGCAATCATTTAGGTATTAGAAAATGACAAGATACCAGAGCATTTCAAATCTGCTGTGTGTATGCACCCTTCCCTGACTTTAATCCAACACCATTCATACAATTATTATTCTTTGAAATAGATAATTTAATAAGAATCTTAAAGGGCATTAGAGGAAACTGCCCATAAAGCAAGCCAGCAATGACAGCAAGGGCTAAAGCTATTGGAGCATTAACCACAGCAACTTATTTTCAGCTGTAACATTTAACTCTAATTTAGACATCTAAATATTATGACATATTAGTAGCTAAAATCTTGAGTCATTCTTATGATAATTTTTTGTTTGTTGCAGCTCAGTACAATACAGTTGCTGTTTATTTACAGGTTTTTCCTGTAAGATTTCCCAACTTTCTGGAAACCAGCCCATTCTGACCATTTTCTCCCTCTTTTAAAAGACTCACTGAAAAGACGCCCAATTTTCAGTCTCAAAGATTTCTGATACTATTTTATCACAGCTGAGCATGTAGCAGACGAATGAGTAACGATGCATGTGGGCTAGGATCATCTATTTGATTGATACGTTTCTAACTGATTCCATAGCATACAAAGACCTCATTTCTTGCAAAGGTCAGACAAATTACAAACCCACAGCAACCACAGTTCTTGCTCTCTGATTTGCCATCTGATTTAAGCAAGTCAAAAATAGTTAATGAATAAATTTAAGAAAAACTTGGTTTATGATTACTATTTAGCATGCAACACACTAAGATTTGACAACTTACCTGAAACTACTTTAAGAAGTTAGCTTCTTTGTGAATGTGATCAACTGGTGTGAGATAGCTTGGTCAGTAGTTTTATCTTGGCTTTGAACAATTACAGGTAACATGGTTTTGCTTTTTCTGGATATTAATAAAAATAGACAACTACTGTACACCGTTTTCCTAGCTTCCGGAGGTCTCTGTCCTCAATGAAGCTTAAACACAGCATGTCACATTATTTACTCCCATTCAGTGTATCTCTGTGCATTACTTCTAAAATGCAAGCTAGTAATGACATTTTAATAAGAGGCAAATTAAAGCCAGACCAAAAACTGATGATGAACTTATGTGTGAAAACCACAAGCAGCAGGAGTAGTCATCTTAATGCAGGTGTGCATAAATGTGACTAGGAACAGGATTTAATCCCTACACCTGGTATAAAACTTTTCTGCAGCTTTATGTCAAGTAACCACCATCTTTTTGTATCTGTTACCGGCCTGCTTCTTATGCTGAGCCTAAATTGGTTTGAGGGAGACAGTAAGTTCTTTTAAAGTCTCTGCGTAACAGTTCTGGAAGCTGCAAGCGTTCCTACACTGCACCATAAAGTTACGTTTCCTAAAGAAAAGGGCTCATTCTGTCCAGAAGGAAATGGAGATATGTAATGGTTTAGTATTTATGCAGATCTAAACAGCAAGACTAACAAGACTCACATCCTGTCACTAAAACTCAGCTCACCAAATCATGTTAAACCTAAATCTCACTTCTGACATACAGATAAGAGAGTTAAAAAGCCAACAACAAAAACACATCCCATGTACAACTATCCAGCATGTAACAGCATAACATAAGTAAAAGCCAGACCTGAGTCCTCACCACATTTTCTGTTAATGATCTCATTATATACATATAAGAGAACAGGTACAGCAAGGATTTTAACAAGAATGCTACAGGTTCAATTTAGGGTATTCTTTCTGAGCACGTTAAAGAACCTGAAGAGCATCACATGAAGCTCAAAATGGAGCTCCACTCTTTCATGGAGAAACATGCCCTTTGGGTGCCATCTGTGAATAGGGCAGAGCAGACACTGACTGAGTACACTCTGAAGGTATCGTTAGCAACATTACAGAAACAGGAATTCTAAAGCAAATAAAAGGAAATGAAATATTCAAAGGAAGAAGCAGGAGGAAGGTCACTGCTATCATTCTGCCATACTTCACACATCACAGTGTGCCAACCTCCATATTATAAACTAAGTGTTCTCAACCTTCTCCTTTTGAATATCTGAATAAAAATGCAGCTATAAATTGCAGTGTCCATTTAAGCTTTTGAGGGTTTCTTCTATCCTTTGCCCTTTCTTATTTCTATCACTTCTATTTTGTGCCTTTTTGCACAGTAAGGAGCCCAGACTAAGAACCATGTTCCCCTATTCAAACGAGCACCATTCCCATTTTGACAACTCAGAGCTCTCTCAACTGGCCATGAGCAGGGTTAGAAAATGGCTCCAACTCCCTTAAGTCTCTTTCAAACAATGAATGCTTTTACAGAGAGAGAAAATAATGTAACAACCATGTTAAAGTGTCTGCAGTACTCATCAAAATGAACATGTCTGACTTCACTGGAATAGATGTTATTCATGTTGTCCACCTTCGATTTTCCTGTTGCTTGGAAAAACACTGCATTTAAAGAGGTGCATTTAAGCTAACATGACTGCAGCCCCATGTCTATGTTCTACTCATTATGTGCTGACCAAAGAATTACTAACAGCCCCAAGGGCACTCATCCCTGTGGTGTCACACTTAAAAACACTCATCCATCTGCCCTATCAATCCACAAAAAGATTTCAATACTTAAACAAGAGGAAGTTAAAAGACAAAACAAGGAAATCTCTTCAGAGACTCTAGATTCTTAACAGTATTTTTACTTCCCCAAACTCCTGTAGCAGAAGCGATACACCATTTTGCAAGTCAGCCTGGAGGATGTGAAGTCAAGCATTCCAAAATCAGTGGAATTTGAGGTGGGAGTATGTGGAATTACAAGTAGATAGGAAATGTATCCTTCAAGTGATCTGATTTTAGAAAAGGGCAGACACATGACAGTGCTCAGTAGCCTTAAGTGCAATATTCACCTTTTTCCTGGGCCCACATCATTCACTAAGCTCCTTCCAAACTTCTGTAACACACAGAGCAGAGGTCCCCCTTTACTACATTAACTCAGACTTACTCCAAGCTGACCCATCCTGTACCAAAACCAAGGCACAAAATCTGAAGTTGCTCTGAAGTTTTCTTTAGAAGAAAAATGGGAATTGATGAAAGAAGAAAATATGGGAAAAGACTAAGTGGGAAGAACAATGATCACAACAGAATAAATCAGGTTTTACAGAAGTCAGCAGATCATGCCCAAGTACTATTCAATTTGAAGAATAGCAACTTGACAGAAGTAGAAGTGAAACTGAGGCAATGAATTGTGATAAATTAAAAACACGCATTACAACTCCCTCCCAAGCATTCATTATTTTGCCTAATACATTTATCTCTCAGAGTGTTTCACCTACTACTTCAGGACATTAGAATTTATGTACCACAGGACTAGAAGTGAAAATACAGATTTCTTCTCTTAAGCAAAGAACATAATCTTTCCTCACTGAAGGAAACCAACAAACTGTTATTTTCATAATATGACACTACAAATAAGCATTAGCATGAATGAACACACACATCACTATGTTACTACAATTCAGCTCAAAATAGAGACTGAACCCTGAACGGGCCTTTGGACACTACTGCAACCTAAGATCTCTTAATTGTTACAAGAAGAATTAACAATCATTTTCATCAAGCAACTTTGCAATCCAAAAGAACAAGGCAAGAATCATACCTAGAAGAGAGGTCTCCTTTGCAAATGCTGCAGCAATAGCTGGGTCCAGCGCTGGCTGCCCATCACCAGATGGCAGATCAGGACGAGTGTAGTCCCTGCTTTTATCGTTGTTGTACTTGACATTCAAATTCACCAGTTTGGAAAAATCAATCCGTAGGGTACAGCAAGCATTATAGATATTTTGACCATCTAAGGCCTGGAAAAGGGAGTCAAGTTACTTAAATAATACACAGTACAGGTTGGTTGCACTTTTATGTTTTCAACAAGGTAGGTGTATACACATATATCCATCTGAAAACCAGTTCAGCTTAAAACACATTCATTAACCTCTCTTAACACGATTCCAGGAAGCCTGATGTTTCTTTCTCTTCTCTAGAAGCTGTTAATGCACCAAAGGGGCAATGCAATCCAACTTAAAAGTTCAGTCTGTTGAGTGGAGTTAATTCACCTGCATTCCATGGTGAAACTTTAACATGGACATAATGCCAACTAAACTGCTCACAGGAAAAAAGAACAGCAAAAATTACACAAGTATTCTTTTACATGGGAAGTTGACCTGAGGGGAAAAAAAAAACAACCTAAATCATCTAGACTTAAATACCATCTTAAGACAGCTCCTTGATACAGCCGAGTATCTACACTGTTCCTGCATGTTCTCCTTCTCCCCTTCAACAGAATTAGTGACAAAATTAAAAGAAAAGCAACTTTATCTGCTAACCTAATGCTATACCAATGGCTTGAGAAGAATGTTGATAAACACACAGTTTTCAGTCTCTCATGCTCTGCCAGTGAAGAAGGGCACAAGAAGCTGGACAGAAGTACAGCTGAGACACCTGACCCAAAGCAGCCAAAGGGGTATTCCATACTACAGAACATCATGCTGGGATATAAACTTACCATTTCCTAGCACAAGCTATGCTCTTAAGGATTCAAGATGCCTGAAAATCCTGAATGCAATAATCATGGATAACTACCCTGAAGCTAAATATGTTATCTGGAGATGTCCTTGCTTCCCATTCCAGCAACAACTACCTGACGTTCCTATTACAGATTTTAGGGCAATAGCAGAGATCTTTTGTAGACTGATACCTGTGCAGAGCAACCCTGTAGCTGTCACTCGCATCAACAGGAAAGAACTTGAACGTAGAGTCAAACCTCAGCAGAACCTCTGTAGAGGTACTCTGAATCACCTACAGGCCAACTACAGCAGGAACTCTCCATTTCGACCTATGTTGGGCCAAGGTGACTAGCATGCACTACATACATGTTTCAGTTAATCCTCCAGAGATGAGGCATTAGTAACTGTCGATATCTTTCTACAGGATTCCAGATTACAGCTATTCAAATTTAAGTTTGCTGGTTATGCTGAACATATTGATTGTTTACTATGAAAATGAGCTATTTTTGATGCTTCAAGTATCTCCTCATGCATAAAGACATCTATAGGACATCACCTTCTGTTTCATTAGAAGTACAGTAGTTCCATGTGCTCTACTACTGCACATACTCCGTACCTTCTCCAACCCATGGCTAGACTGCTGCATTGCACAGAACCTGAGCTTTGTCATCTTCACCTGGCAGCGTAACAGACAGCAACAATCCAATCTGAGGGTGGTGATGAAACACAAATTAGTGTAGCCATCATCTACCTCAATGGGAAATGAGCGAGTGCAATTCTTCACTACTTGCTCATTCAAATAGCAAAAGTGGTCCCACAGAGGCTTGGTATTGTACATTCCTGTCAGTGTCACTGGTTTCTCAGAACCTTCAAATGAATAGCATCTCTGCTTGGTACTTCCAGCCCTTCAGTTTTCCAAATTGCTCTTTAACTTCCTTAATAAGTATTCTTCTATTAAGGCCACATTCTGATTTCCCCATTATCTTCTACAGTAACAACTGATGGGAAAGAAATTGAAAGCCTCTTTCGTCTTTTAGTATGCTTTTAATTTTGAACTCCTGCAACTGAAATGTAGCTACCACATCCTCGTGTTCCTACTCTATTTCCAGATATATTTAAACCAGAGGGGTTTTCCCATCATCTGACTCTTCTTTCAAGCACTTTTCTTGTGGTGGCACTTTGCATTTGACCATAGTCGATCAACCTTAAGAACTGTACTTATTTTATTTTATTAGCTCTGGAGGATAGGGGGGAAATTAAACCTTCCCTCTAATTTGGCATTCTTCAATACTTGGATGGGGTATTACTCTTAGCATTTTGCCTATTTATGTTATAATTGGTTAAAATATGAAACTATAAACTGAAGACCATTTCAATTTGTCACCAAGATGGGCTCCAAGATCACTCTGACAATGCTTGTATGTGCAGGAGTCACTCAATGAGTTTAGTCATTCACCCATGAGCAACTACTAGTGAACAGCTAACCTAATCAAAACATGAAAAACTGGAGGAACAAATACATACAATAATCCATGATCTAGTACCAGTTTGTCAGAAGTCAACAACAGCGAGATATCTTTAGGTTCCTTCCATACTTTCACAAACCTCATCCTTTGTTATTCTGTTACTTCCTTACAATATATCCCTAGAATGACACTGATACATCTTCAGATCACTACAGGCCATTGCACAGACATCATCTTTCCATTAAACCTTCTCATAATTTATTTAAGGCTCAAAAAAGGTAAAGAAATGTATCACCTCATGTCCTATTTTGCTTTAGAAGAGCACTTTAAAAGCAGCATTAAAATGTTACTGAAAAAATAAATTCCCAAACACAAATCAAGCCTGAATTACAAAATTGTGCAACAAACACATGAGCATCCAACTGTTTATAAAGTGTTTCAAACATGAACCTAAATTACTTCAGTTGCTTTCTGCTTTCTGCAGCAATTGTAGGTTAAAGATCTTTTCTGCACTATTTTAAACCTACTTCAAACCCAAAAGGTGTATCCTGTCCAGGCAAATCTTTTTCCTATTACAGTGACATCCTTGCATCTCCCTCTACTCAAACACCATTTAATATTTGATACTATTCATCTCTGAGAAGAATATCCCTAATTTAAATTATACTCCAAATATACAAATACTTCCAGACTGCTTTGCAGGGGTAGATTATAAGATAATACATCATTGTAAATCAAGTTGTAAATCACCTTTATTCTTGTAACTTCATTCTGGCTGACTTTACTCTTCCCAACAGCATGAACACTTCCTCTCTGCTTTTTGAAAACCTCTTTATTTTTTGTGATTCCTGTCTTGACCACCTTTTTAAAATACTTTTTTATCAATAACCAGTATTTCATTTGGTGATGAAGATAAAAATGATCATCCTCCACCATGAAGGTCTTGATTTCAACATAGTCATCACTCCGTACAGTAACAGAAAACTAAGCCTATTTTTTGTTTCCCTTACTAAGAGACACTCATTGCCAACTCAGGCTGAGGTGCAAGCTTTTCACTTTTGCTTCAAGTTCTCAGCTATTCTGTCATCTAGAGGCAATAAGCACTTCCTGCGCTGCCAAGCAACACCGAACAAGCACATCAACTTGAACCAGCTTCCCACAAATCCAGCCTCTATGGGAAGGCCTGAAAACATAAATTCATTCCATTTTAGCTCTTGAAAATCGATATAGTAAAAAAATCCAGCCTCCACCTTTGGTTCAACTTTTCTGTTGCCACAGATTCATTCAATTATCCCACTCAACTAATTCCAAACAACTGGTACAGATTACATGCTGTTGATCTATCATAATTTATACAGAGGTTCTCTACAATGAATAAAACCCGTTACCTGTTCTTGCCTTTCCTACCTAGGACAGGAGAGTTTTACAGAATCATAGAGTGGTTCAGGCTGGAAAGGACCTTAAGATCATTCAGTTCCAAACCCCCGCCATGGGCAGGGAAACCTTCATTAAAACACAAGTAAGATCCTGCCCTTGTATCACTCATCCAAAGCTGCTTCCTAGTCTGATCCCATGAGTAAGACTGCACTCTCTCTTCTGGACATGTACGGTTACAATGAGCTCTAGGTAATTTTTTTTAGGATACAATAATTAAATACTTCTATAAATGTTTATCCAATCCACAAATCACATCTTTGTTTTGATGGTTAGAAAGAACCTAGCAACAAGAATTCACTCTTCATTAGGGACCGTAGTGATGGGACAGGGGGTGATGGGCTCAAATTGAAATACGGGAAGCTCAGGTTAGATATCAGGAAGAAGTTCTTTACTGTGAGGGTGCTGAGGCACTGGCACAAGGTGCCCAGAGAAGCTGCGGCTGCCCCATCCCTGGCAGTGTTCAAGGAAAGGTTGGACACAGGGGCTTGTAGCAACCTACCCCAGTATGAGGTGTCTGTGCCCGTGGCAGGGGGCTGGAACTGGATGATCTTAAGGTCTTTTCCAACCCTACTTTTCTATGATTCTATCTTACAGAATTTCCTGCTTAGAGTGAATTAATTCTGCACCAACATCACAGCCTACATTTCTACTGCTTGTTGACATCTACACTATGGCAGTCTTGCACATGTGAAGTCTTATTAAGATACTTAGTCAAAATTATAGATGTATACAAATCTTTAGACACAGAATCCTTAAACATAGTATCTTCAAATACTGATTTTATGCAACAGGAATATCATACCTCCCAACTATTTTTTCATCTCAAAGAATTCGCACAAGGGGTGGAGTATGACACATTAGTAAGGTCAGTACTTGTCATATTAACATCTTCCAAACATTTAGAGTACAGGAAGGTCGCCAGCCTTAAAAGAAAACTGTACTTACTAGTTTTGCTTGCTGTGCATTTACTGGATCACCATACTGCAGTAAAGCTTGAAACTGGTTATTCTTTGTGAATGTGATTATCTTCAACACAGCACCAAATTTAGAGAATATCTGCCAAGAAACATGGTAAAAGTTTTACACATGAAGTTCCTCCCAAATGAGAGCTCAAATTCAAAAGAAATTGGGCTTACCTGATGGAGAACATCCAGGGTTACGGGATAGTACATATTGTCAATGATTATTCTGAGTACTGGACTCTGAGCTGGAGTCACTGCACTCTCACTAACAGTGGTCCCACTAATGGGAGCATTTGTTGCCTGCACAGCTGTCACCGCCTGAAGAACAGCTTGGGCCCTCTTCAAAACAAAAGACAAGAAAAGGCAAGACAGCTTGGTTAATATTTCAAGATGATAGCTAGAAATTAATTAGCAATATTTATACAGTTAACTCCAGAAACAGAAAACTGCCCACTGATTTCAAACTGAGAGCTACAGACAGAACACAACGTAAGTGCAATGCAGTCCAACTCTGTGAGAAGAGACAAATGAAAACATCAATTAACCCTTATGTCACAATAAAGAAGGGCTTCAAATGGCACTGGTATCAATCAATCCTACTTGTACTAGTAACAATGAAGTAAGTGAAGATTTTGTAGGTTTCAAGATTCTTTTCCTTTAACAAAAACCAAATCCAAGAAAAAAACGACAAGCCTACAGAAACCAGCAGGACTGAACCTATTTTCCAGGAGATTCTATTACAGTTCACATTTCCCTGCCATTTCAGAACTCTGATAGAAAGGGCTAATACTAAGCTAACACTTCTAAACTTCTCAGCTTTAACACACTGGAATCATACACAAGGCTGACAAATGTCAGGAAGTAGTATCCGCAAAAAGGTAAAACAAACTGGTGTTTATTATCCATCCTCTTTCAGAAGAACAAAATCCTCTTCATGTGTGGGGATTTTGGGGTGTTTAAACACAAGCAGGGCTTTAGAAATCCAAAGGTAACCACATGATGACAGCACAAAACTACACAGCTATGTCACTACTTCCAGTGCCCAAACTGACAGGATCAGAAAAATGAGATGTCTTTTTCTGAGAAAGAAAAAGTGCAGGAAAAAGGAGTTCCATTTAATGCTTTCATTGCAGGAGCCTTATGAAGCAAACGATACAAAACAGAGATGGGTGAGCATGCCAGGTATAAGTAATAACCACCATATGAACATATGCTGCATATTTTAAAGGTATTAGAGCTACTGCACGATTTCATAGCTTACAACTTACATGATAATCCTCATCCTGAAAGGAATCAATGAGTAAGGAAAAGGGAGGGGAAGGGGAAACAAAACAAAAAACACAGAGACCTGGTGAACACTAGCTGGGAAAACAAGATTTACCTCTAAACTTAATAGCACTGTAACTGTAAAAACATCTTCTGATAACAAACATGTTTTTTTTTTCCCTAATGTATGAAATACAGAACTTTCAAGCTGGCCAAATACTGGGCCAAGTTGTATGATTGATTCCTATTCCCTTCTGTAAGCACAGGAGAAGCGCACGGGAATTAAAACTCACTCCTTCAAGTGATTGTTTAATCAAAAGAACTGGAATCTGTGAAGGCAGTTTGAACATCTAACCCTTGTTAGCACTATCCATCTATGCTTATGCATCATATTTTATTACAGTTACAGAAATAACTGTCATCTTGATTCCTGAATCTACAACACAAGGTAAGAAATGGTTGGTTTAAAGGAGTTTAAATGCTCCTCTCAGTGTTTTGATGTCTCACAGGAAAAGGATTTACATAGAATTATAGAGCTGAGAGAAAACATACTCAAAATGGACCATTTAAGTTTTCTTCAGAGCCAACTCATTCCAAGTACAGAACTAAAAACAGTCCTGGAAGCTGCTATTATTGAGAAATTCAGAAAACAGCTTACTGGACCTTTTCCTACTTTCATTATTTTTAAAGGTTTTTTTATCTTCTTTATAGCTAAGACACTTGCACTCCTCTTCAAACTCTTTATCTTTCTGGTTCCATGCACTAACATCCCAACTTCGTTGTATCTTCCAGCTTGAACATCCGGAAACAAAGACAATTTCAAATCCAAACCAAAAGAAGACTAAAGCAACATTTGCACCACCTTTATTTCTCCTTACAGAAAAGAGAACATCCAACCACCTTGTGTTGTATAGAATGCCTTGGAGACACTAGTAACAGAATACTCACTGCCAAGTACCTATTTCTATTATTTAGTTTGAAATTAAAGAAATAGAGACCTGAAAGACTGGGAATATGTTTAAACTGAGTATAGTGGCATAAAAGCTGTTGAAAAGTCAGCACATCCTCTACACTGGACACATGGAGTACAAAAAAAGATTAAGCACAGACGCCAGAGGACAACGCAAGAGAAAGCTTCTTAAAGGACTATGTCCATTCATTAGATGTGCAGGCAGAATTCATCCTCTAAGTAAATGAATTTATTTTTCCTTATCACTGACATTTTGGGGAACACAAAATTCCTCAATTTTTAAAAAGTACATTTAGAAGCCAAACTATCACAAGATTCTAACTTTTCAGTTTAGAAGCACCAACTGGAAAATCAATACTATACTTAATAAGAACCAAGATATCTTTCAACAGATTACTGTTGTTTCTAAAGGCTATCATAGAATCCCAGACTGGTTTGGCTTGGAAGGGACCTTAAAATCATGTAGTTCCAGCCCCCTGCCCCGGTCAGGGACACCTTTCACTAGAGCAAATTGCTCCCCATCCAACCTGGCCTTGAACACTGCCAGGGATGGGGCAGCCACAGCTTCTCTGGGCACCCTGTGCCAGTGCCTCAGCACCCTCACAGGGAAGAGCTTCTGCCTCAGATCTAATCTGAGGGTCCCCACCGTCAGTTTAAAACCATTCCCCTTGGCCTATTACTACATGCCCTTGACATAAGTCCCTCTCCAGATTTCATCATAATGGAAAGATCACACAGAAAGCCAATCCCTTTCAGTGTCACAAAATAAAAGACCACAGGGAAGACTACAGTAGCATTATAACATAGACAAAACTAACTGATTTAAACATATGCCACATAAGCCAAGAACACACACTAAGCCTCATTTTCTGCCTGCATTTGTAATACTACCGAACAGTAAATATACCTGGTTAAGTGTGTTATCAGTCTTCAGTTCTTTATGATTGGAATACTGGATATAGATAAGTTGGTTCCGAAGATGAGGCGTCACAGCAGAGTAATAATTCACCATGGTGACAGCTGCTTCTTCTGTGGCAAGTTCCAAAAATGCCTGTGATTAAACAGTTAATTTTCAGTATTTACAAGGCAGATAATAGTCATATTAGCAGCATATTCAAAACACTTAAAGCACCGGAAAACACATGGTAACAAATACCAGTCTTCAGATGTCATTCGCTATATACCAAGTTTACCAGTCCAAAAATTCACCCCTGAAGATGAGGGACTATTTCTCTCACAGTTAACTTTTTGCTATATGCAGCTCCACCATACCCTGTTACCCCTATAATTTACTAAAAGACAGTATAAATTCATAAAAAGGAAAAATTAAGGCTTTTTGGTTTTCATACTTACTGTTCTGACTTATTTCAAGAGCATTTTAACAGCATATTTTGAAAATACACAGAAAGCATAGTGAAAAATGGAAAGCAACACGTTACCTGATTTTTCCCTTTCAGCATCAGGATGTTGGTCACCTTACCAAAAGGTAAACCTAAAGCAATAACTTCTGTTTCTGTCACTTCCCCAGGCAGTTTCCTGATATGAAGAACACGAGAAGGAGCCCCATCCAATTTATCTTCCCCTTTGAATTTCTTGGTGTCATTACCATTTGCTGAAAGACAGAGTCGGACTAGATGTGAAAAGCTGACTGATAAAATGGTTTTCATTAGAAATATCACTTTTAAGTAAGCCACCTCTTAGCTGGATCTAAATAGAAGTCAAGGGTTCAGAACAAATTCTGAAGAGACAGATGTTACAGCTTCGGAAAAGGTGTGCTCACAACTAACTCAAATCCTTTCTATCTCTTTCAGTGAAGTATCTCATGTAATACCATGCAAGAGTATTAATGATGACTCAGCATGCCTTGCATAAGAACTGTAAATTCTATTAAAAAAACCCAACAATTTGAGGTTACCAGAATTTTGGTTTTCAGGAGAAAAATGGTGGTGAATAGTTACCAGAAGAGCTTCTAAAGGGAACTTTAAAGGATTGTTTGCACTAAGGAACCAGAGACACAAAGTAGAGAACTATCAAAGCAAGAGGGGAAGCATCATTAATGCTGAGAAGGATCACACTGGAGAAAGTGGATGACCCAGAGGACTGATATTGCAAACATCTGATGAAATCCTGAGCCTCAGAATTTAAGGACCAAGAGCAAAACCATCTATTATGAACTACTAGTTCCCTGACAGATAAAAACCAACTAATAAACATGATGCAGCCAACACAGGGGAAGAGGGTGTACAAAGAGCCAGATCGGACTTTCCTAGCAGAAGCAGGGAAGCATTAACATCATTGTCCAAAGCATTTGGAAGGTATTGTTAGGAATGCAGTCCAGAATTCTTGTACAAAATTCCAGCTGCAGCTCCTAGCCAGTTGGATGGAAGAAGTGTTGCTTTGGAAAGAAGGCCAGTAATACAACCACTGCCTACAAATACGTAAGTGGAGTAACCGTTAGAGTCAAGAGCTAAAGTACAACACTGTCCTAAGATATATGGATATTAATGAATTAATCAGTGCTGGAAATCAGAACGCAATTACATATGAGAGAAGCAAGTGCTAAGATTTCTCTTTTTCTACTTCTGGCTGTAAAAACATGCAAGTCTGAGCATGAGCTACTCAACTTCTGATTACATGTTAGAAGAGCACTTGAATAGCCCCATGTATTTCCAAAATAACCCACATCAACTGTGACTAGGAGAAAAAGACTTGTCATCATTAGGGTTCAAATTCTTGAGGGCTTCTACCAAAGAGGATTAATTAATAAATAACTAAAAAGTACAGGACTACTTTTATTTACTCACTACAAAAGCAGAAACAATAAATGGGGGAAGGGGAGTGTGAGGGAAATCAATAAGAAGCATTTATAGGTGTTAAATCCTTGTGAGAAAGTTGATGGCTGCAATTTGCAGAGAGAAGTGAATGAACAAGTCTTCAGTTCTCACTCAGCTGTAACTACAGAACTTCATGCTGAACGGGTGCCGGGAAAGTCATTTCTACCTCATCTTGTTCCCTGTGTAAAAATATCACATTCATTTATGACCAACTTGAGCACAGAAAGAATTCAAGTTCTTAGCTCCATTTACCTTAGCCAAGCCAATCTACTCCAGATTAAAACACAGAACGAAATGGACTCTAATTTTTACAAGTCAAGAACAGCCACACTCCAGATGCGGATCTGAAAAGCCAAACCAGGTATGACATTTAAGTACCGTTCCAATGGCATTAGGAAAATTGGCAAACTTGGGGTCTCTGAGTAAACCTGTGAACATGTGTCTTCCTTTTCCAAGAATAAGGCCATTCTCCATACTTCCATTAAAGGAATTAATGGGAAAAGGATAAATCTATACATCAGGAACTGTTTCCACCACTCCCTTCTATCCTTTTCTAACAACTAAACCTCTAATTTGAATGCTTCTACCTTTCACTTCAGCTATTTATCTTTAGATTTAGTTAAATGTAAAATTCAAGCTATTCTCCTAGTTAAAAATAGGATGCCTTAGAGGCAGGTCATCCCTTCACTTCCTCTCCTCCTCAGAAAGAAGATTCCAAAACAGTTTTTTCAAAAGTCCTTGCACTGCAGAACATTTTCTAGGTCTTTTCCAACTTCCAATAGCAGTCAAAACAACCCAAACCTAACTACATTAGAAAGGGTCGAGATCCACCTAGCAGTTACCTCCAACTGCTAATGCTAGAAGGGGTCAAATCCATGCAATAGTAGGCATTTTATGCTGGTCTGCTGCAAGGAAGGACAAACTGTGATGGAACACAGAATAAAACGTCAGACACCACAATGTGAACTAGGCTCTGAAGTCCACTGTTAGTCTGCCCAAGGCTCTAACCTCTATCCCTTTGGTAAACATGGTGAGACTGGGCTTCCAGGTATCTAAATGACACACTAGAGCACTTAATCCTCAAAGACAGAAAATGTCCTTTTCTTTTTCAGCTGAGGCTCATCACACACCAGTCTTCCCTAGTTCTCAATTTAAATCTCTACCAGAAAACTAGACAAAAAACACTGTAAAGTTTGTCAGGCTTCGCAATGTATTACAGGCAACACATTACACACAAACTTGCAAAGAACAAGAGACTTGCAGTGATATTGGAACTAGATTTCCAGTGCCTGTCAGACTTAAGCTTTCTAAATAATCTGAATTCATACAGGTTTCAAAAACTAAATATGAAACATTCACAATGAGAAATGAGAAAGTGAAAATCAAGGCTTTAAACTAAAAGATTTTCTGAAACTGATAAGAAACCTCTTTTTTTTACTACATCACCCCAAAAGTATGTACTGTGAGATCAGTTGTTACAGAACTGTGTTATTTTGTGTGTGGTTTTCAACATATCATTTGGACAGATTAACTTTTCCATAGCATAACCTCCAAGAATTTAAGGTTTTTTTTGTTAAACTACAGCTTGTATTTGGATTAGGCTTTAGGTAATCCCAATTTACTAATAAAAGCATCCCTAGCCAGATAGAATCACTCCAATATACGTTTATATGAAATAAATGTTCCTTTATTGTATTACCTGAATAACTGGTTTTATCATTTGCATTTCACACAGTTCTTCAATTTTCACTGTATCAAGGGGATGGTGAGGGGGGAAACCTCACAGTCCCAGGGTAAAGGTTGGATTTGATGATCTTAAAGGTCTTTCCCAACCTACTTGATTCCATGATTTTCTAAGAAGTACTAACTACTACTGAGGAACTGTTACTAAACTATAAGATTATTGGCACAGAGCTATTTCATCAGTTAAGTCTGGCTTTCACCAGACCTAAAAAGCCTGACTGAATTCAAACCTCTTGCTACTAACACTTTTAACAACTATAAAGAAGGACTGAAGAACATCATGCTTACAATATCCGTATTAGGGGAACAAATAAAAATCACTGTGAGAACAGCATGACCCAAACACAGTGTTAGCATTAGCTCATTCATTAAGTTACAGCCTTAAATATAGAGCTGAAATAACAAAATCAGGAATCTGACCCTGAATCACAGAATCATTTAGGTCAGAAAAGACCTTTAAGATAGTTAACCAGTCCAGCCATAAACCTAACACTGCCAAGTCCACCACTAAACCATGTCCCCAAGCACCACATTTACACATCTTTTAAATATCCCCAGGGATGCTTATAGTCATTTCAGACTGCCAAAGAAAACCCAAAACAAAGAAACCAAACCTGTTCTCTAACAGCCACTGCACTGAGGTAAACCCTCTTTGGCTCTGCACCAAAGAGATGAAAAATCCAGGTTCCATTTCTAGCAGAATCTCCTCTGTACTAATAACGTTCAAAGCATTATTCTCCTAACTAAACAGGATATTCTAGTCTAAGCATAACTGATACCTAAACCACATCCCTGTTGCACGGAGTTCCTTCAATTTAGCATAAATCAAGTAGAATGCTTAGGAGTTGACAAAGCCTATAAATGGCTGTTAACTACACAACTTTGGTCCCTGGCATTTTTTGCTAGAAACTCCTATTTTATTAAACACAGAAACCCATCCAAATAAGCAATAAAATTAAGAGGAATGTACATAAGGCATTCTCTGAGTCTGTGGCATTCAACTGTTCAAGCTATGAAGATTCAATGGAGAAAATCTGAGCTTAAAGTTCAGCCTAACTCTTGGCAAACAGCGAGTAACTTACTTCCTGCTGGTCACTACTTTTGGAAACACACTGTAGTAAGACTTCATCCAAAAGGAGTTTCTCTCTGCACACAATTTATGTGTTTCTTGAAAAACAGTAATAAAAAACCTCTCAAAAGTGTTCTGTGGCCAAAATTACATCATTAAAATTGAAACTATATAAAGCCTTTCAGATGTGTGATTTTTTTCTTTACAATAACATTCTTCTATATTCAAAAATGTCCTAATATAGTAATGTAACTATGCAGCTATGTGCAAAGATTTTGCATCCAGTAAAAAGTTGCTTTCACCTATTATTTCCTGGGAATAAAGGGAAAATATGCTAAAAATTCATCACATGATGCTGATTTTAGGCCCCTGTTTCTCTGCACTATTGAAAGCCTTGACTAATAAACATCCGTTTTGCAGGAGTCAATCTGTTTCACACCCGTCAGTCCAGAACAACAAGCAACTACAAACCCAAATGTAAATACTTAAGCTTTTCCGAAACATTTATTCCACCCTCTCGTTTCAGTTTATACATGAAAGCAGCTTACTAATAGTACTAGCCATTTCTGTGCCTATTGTAGAAAGTACTTCTTGTTTCACATTAGCTGATATATATGAAATCTAATGCTGCCAACAAGAAGAACATAAGACATACCCATACAGTAAATATCCGACCAAGTGAAAAGCAATGGAATAATAGATTCATAGGCTCACAGAATGGTTTGGGTTGGAAAGGAAGTTAAGATCATCCAGTTCCAATCCCCTGCCACGGGCAGGGACACCTCATACTAGAGCAGGGTGCTCCAAGCCCATGTCCAACCTGGCCTTGAACACTGCCAGGGATGGGGCAGCCACAGCTTCTCTGGGCACCCTGTGCCAGCACCTCAGCACCCTCACAGGGAAGAGCTTCTGCCTTAGATCTAACTTGAACTTCCCCTGTTTCAGTTTGAACCCACCACCCCTTGT